ATTCATCCGGAGACATCGAAGCTCAAAAGTTTCTGAGTGACAATGTCCGCGTTTCTGGACATTTCAGGAGTGCTTTCCCTTTGATAGAAACAGGCTGAAGGTTTCAGCATTTAGAAAGTAGAGGACTGAACACGAAACTTGAAAACCATGAACTCCACAATTGGGTGAACCAATGTACTAGATATCACCTGCTCGGCAAGAAGATCTCTCCTCGGAGTTCCCCAACTATCACCAGCGCACTTTGAACCAGCGAGTCAAGAAAAAATTTGAATGTTACTCCTATCCCTGACTCGTGTTTGAAACGACCTTTTTCTAGCATAGTCAACCATCGCTGTTGGATCATCCACACCGACTTTATCAATGTGCCGAGTTGCTCTCTTCAAAGTGATATGTCGATTCAGGTCTTGATTCAGAAAGACTAACTGGCGAATTGTGACTTGCCTATTCGGTCCATTCTCCGGTGGATTCATGTGCTCAGGTAGCAGGGGAAGAAGGGAAAAGCACAAAAAGAAACATTTTCAAGGTGGTCGACACAGTTTCAAACATCGGTTGAACAATTCTGCTGTGAAAAACTATGGTCGTCAGTATGACGTCGACCAGGTTGTGAGAATAGGGATTCCCTCATAGTTGAGTGCGGATGGATGCCCATATGTTCTTATAGTCCATCGCTAGATCCGTCTGCCGGAAAGCGGAGCGATCTACTTCAGTCACTTTGATGCTCCACCGGAAAACTGAGTGCCAATCAAAAACCTGCCCGGTTAGTCTGCCCGCACATTCTTCCATCTTTGGTCCAAAGGAGTAGAGTCAGAGCGAAAAGAAGAACTTCCGTTACGGCTCATTGCAGGATGACACCTGCCTGGGTCTATGAAGGCCCTATATAGGGGCTATGTATAAGTTTGTGCAGCTAAACCCGTCCAAAGTAATCGGGTGTCCAGTTGGATCTTTGATCTGTAAACCAGCCAAGACCTCAAAATTTCAATCAATGATGTTCATCTTGACTTATGTCTGCAACTGACTATACATTCTCGTCCAATTCATAGTCTAGTAAATTGATTCTCAGCTCGTATCTAATTTTACCGAAATACTTACAAGACTACTTAGTACATCATTAGTACAATTTATACATTGAATTTTTAAAAATATCTTTACGTTAATTATATAAAAATTACTATACTATTGAAGTTTACCATCTGAAAATAAGTAATCTAAGCATCGCAGTTCTTATACTCCCAAAAAAATCTCATGAGAAGACTCAACATCTTTTCAACCTACTATAACAATACTTTCGAATGTATTGAAAAGGTGAATAGAAAATAATGAACCAAATTTTTAAATCTGTAAATTACTATGCAAAATGAAAATATGAATGAGATATTTTCTATGAAATTATCTGACTAAAATATAACCTAGTTAAAAAATGTTTCAAACCAACTCGAATAGAACTTGGAATTTGACACACATGTTGAGTATGATTTATATCATGAAATACAAAATACTAGGATCTAGAGAATAGCGAGCTTGATACAGTACGTTGATTTAAACATTCGATAATTTCTAGATCATATGCTTGAATTATTCCATGATATTTATTATGTTGATTTTGCGTACACGCTTGTGCATACAAATGATCCTGGCTCTTACGAAGAATACGAATTCACATCAGTTAATTACAAACTTGAACATGTTCATGAAATGTAAACTTCAGAGTACAAATAAACTTGAACATTTTCATTACATACAAACTATAGTATTATTTTCAAAAAATATGGCCCTACCTAGGTTCTAGTAATAAGATCTATATCAAGCTTAATTTTTCTATGGTTTTTGATGTTCAAATATAATGCTTTCAATGAGGTTTGGAATACATACAGTAAATTACAAGGTGTATTTTCAAGTATATGAAGAAGGAATATCACCTACTGAAAATTATTCAAGTATGCGAGGGTTGAGTAAAAGGGACGACACCAGTTAAACGGTGAAAAATTACGAGAAGATTCAACAAATGTAATGCTTTCAATGAGATTTGGAATACATACAGTAAATTATTTAGTATATTTTCAAGTATATGAAGAAGGAGTATCAGCTACTGGAAATTATTCAAGTATGTGAGGGTTGAGTAAAAGGAACGAGCACCAGTTTAACGGTCAAAAAGTACGAGAAGATTCAACAAACCGTATTGGAATCTAGCAAATAACCTATTTTTCAAATTTCAAATAGTGTCATAATCAAAATTGCATTGTGTAACATCTAAATATATATGAATATTCTAGAACCAATTGTCTATATTTAACAAGAACACTTGATGATATGATCCAGTATGAGTAATTTACTATTTATAGCAATAATAAAGTTATTGTAGAACTAGTATAACGTGTTGTGTTGATTAAAGCTTGCTGAACTGAATTATTATGTATACTATTCTATGTAAGGATTCCCTTTATTTTCTCTTGAATATTTAAACATTTAAATATATATTTCCAATGCTCAAGCAACAAACACATGATATCTATATAAAACATAAAAAAATGAATGTGGAAATTGTTCTTATAATTTCTTGTACATCCTGAATGATGAATAATCATCATTACAATACTTTATTATTATCATATTAATTTTTTAACTGAATCATAAAATTAATCATAATTCAGATTAAAACTTAGTCTATAAAAATATAATTGAATTGAATTGGATTCATGAAATTGGAATCTGCAAAAAAACTGCAGACATGAAATTCTATTCGTACTTAGATATTTCAATATTTGTTCCAAAAGATGTGGATTTGAATGTATTCTTTTGATCTAAGAAAAAGTATGACAAGAATGTCATAAAACTATGCTAGAGATACTTTTGAAATGCATCATTAACTACTGAATTCAGTAATTGAATAGTTACAATATTAATATATCAAATTTACATCATTTTTAGTAAATAAGAAAAATCTCAAGCTAAAAAATTTGATTTTTTTTCATGTCTAAAGCTAGATTTTAAAACAATTCTTTCTAATAGTGTTTGAACTTGTCTTATAAAATTACCAAACTTCATTTTAAGAAGAGGTTTTGAGTTGCAAAATCACATAAGTATCCGATGTTATATACTAGTTTAGTTTGATCAGGGTGAACTCTCTATGGTTACGGAAGTAACACTCACATCTAATCCAATATGATCAATGATCAGATCATGATGTGACTAGAGGTGATATTTTTGAAAGCTTTCTGAATACTAGGACAGAGAAGTTTTCCCTTAGCGTACATACACAATATTTATTGTTTATGTCAAGGTGTGAGTCATAACTTGATATAGACGTCTTTATAATTGGATTATTTGCGAACAACATAATACCAAATGTATTACACAACACTTAGATCCATAATACCAAATTTATTATACAACATTTAGATCCATCTCATTTGTAGATGTTATCTTCGTTCAATCACCTCCTCAACCTTGAAGATATACTGGTCATGCATCTTGTCGACGTTCTCATATATGTTAATGTGATCAAACTCATCGATGATATCATCATTAGCATACTCATCCTCCTCGACTAGATACTCTTCAACTTCAGCTTCATATCTATTATTAGGCCAAAGTTGTTGGAACCATTTGCAGAATCTTGTATCACTTGTTGTAAAGATGTGACAATGGAGATGTTTCGAATTGAACAAAATGGGAATCCCGGTGTTAATTTTGTGCTTGTCCAACCAAGCTTGTGATCAAAGATAAACATGTTTGATTGTTTTGTGATTGTGTTCAGCCTTGCTTGTACTTCTTAAATTCTTGTGCAATGTAGATAGTCAACCTTTGATGATGAAGTCGTATTGATAATCATATAAGATCCACAATTTAGATGACTTGAAGATGATATCGTTGAAATCATCATATTTGAACTCCGTGTGCACCATGAACATGATAAATTCAGTAAAAAAATTTTGTTCAAGCTAGTCAAGCGTTTCAAAAAAGATGTTTAAATCTGTAATACTTTTAATTAACGTTGCAGCTCGCAATTTCAAATCTTCTCTAATAGATTCAATGCAACCTCTCTACGCAACTCATTGTCAAATATTCCAAAAAAACATTGCGATTCCGGGAGCAAGCCATCAACACTTGTGCAGACTACTTCGTATTAACTATGGACTTGCTATTTTATAATTATACAAGGTAGGTTTGGAAATGTTATATAATACAATGATATAATATCACGGGTATAATACCGCAATTACACATTCACACTTGTGATGTGATTCTTGGATCTACAAGTTTATGAGGATTGTGGGTAGTATATACCCAAGATCATCTTTGGATTTTTTCATTTTGAAACAAAGTGTGGATTCTAATGTCATGAGACTGAATTTTAACGGCGACATTGTAGATACATGTTTTTACAAGTCAAGAACAACAAGTAGTCTTATTTTATAACAAAGATTGATCTTTCAGATATAGTATTCATCTATAAAAGCTCTAATCTCAATTGACCTTGACTTGAGAATACTTAACTTGCGAAGTTTTTTAGTAATGAAAACTCTGTATATACATATATCTGTACATACACACGTTAGAGAATCTTATAAATTTTACCTCAAGAGAATATATATATATATATATAAATCCATAATCAAACAACAAAATGTAGAAAATTGTTAATATTTTGCACAAATTAAAAAATTCACGTGTATTCGCGGACAAAGACAATATAAAACATGCCGTAATATTCCACAAGGTATATCACGGACAGCGATCTTTCGATTTCAATACCGAGCGCATGGGAACCGGGTAGGTGTTGGCAGCCGCAAACAAGGATACTCAGTACCGAGCTTGGAGGACCATTCTCGAAGGCCTGAAGCATGTCGTGAAAGTCGCGTTTACGGGCATCGCATACAGCCGTCGCTGTCTGACATGTCATTGCATTGAACGGTACTAGTTCAAACAGTCGAAATCCAGTCGACTCCAGAGGGATGGAGAAAGAGGGCGAACGCAAAGAACAAATCACGGGATGAAATGCACCAAATCCAGTGTACCTGAATCAATTCTTGTCATGCGAATTTGCATTGCTGCTCTGAACTGCAGAAACATGTCACGGCAGCAAAGAGGCTTTGCGCGGAGTGGTGGGCCCTCGACTGAGAGGAGGTGGCTACGACTCTTACGGAAACTGCCAAATTAAGGGTGGGACTGGAGACGGCCTGGACATGGAATTAAGCGGAGGGTGGCTTCTGGAGGCTGGAGTGTGTGCAATTGCAGACTCGGCGTGGGTTGAGCATGCGTATATGGTTGGGTGAGAAACGAAAGGCAAAGATACATTTCACAAGCCAGGGTTCCAGGACCACAGTGGATAATGCGCCCCTCCCCTAGAAATCTGTGGTGGACGGTTGGGAAGTTTCTGGCCTCCGGTTTTTTTCTCTTCTGCCTCGTTGGTCCCTCTCTGGCTGCGTCCTTCCTTCTTGGCTCGCCGCTCGTCTCTGCTTCACCTTCCTTGCCCTCCCCTGCATCAGCCGCTGGTGTCGCAACGCCTACTCCGTCGTGTCGTTGACAAAAAAGGTTCTGAGCGTAGTGCGGAACAGAATTAGTGATCTGTTCGTTGGATTGATCAGAGTGGTGAGTCGAAGCTAGGACGACTGCAGCCATGGGGGTCGCAATGCGTCTCCGCACTCCCAATCTCCATGCTGCCTTGGCTAGCTCGTCGCTGCCTGTATGCTCTGCTGGACGGACGTCATTTCTCACCTCTCTCCAGGTCCCTACTCCACTTCGATCGTCATGTCATCTTCCGTCCCTTGCTCTCAACCGCCGTGCTCAGCGTTCGACAATTGTTATGCAAGCGGCAGATGGCTCGCCAGGTATTAAATTTTCTGTAATTTTGTGAATGATATTCCAATGACTACTCCGATATTTGTACGAATCTACCCCGCCTCTCAGGCCCTTAGGCTCCGTGCTATAGTCTGTTGACGTCCAGGGAACCAGAAGAGAATATTTTAAGATACTTTCGCAAGGCTCATTCTGTCTATGATTGCTCGCAATCTGCCGGCTTTACGGGATCTCTTAGAAAAGTTTTATCCCGCCCTTCAGTTACCAGTGAAGACTGTGCAGAGCAGGCAGCTGGTTGGAGGGATGAACTGCAAGTGTTACAGGCTCGTTGTGCAAGAATAAGAAAGCGCTGCTTACAAAGAGTAGAGAACAAGGATTTTTGTAGTGCTGGATCAGAGTATGTCGGTAGTTCATACCGAAGTGTGACATTCAAGTTTTCAATCTAGGCCTGAACTGACAGAGAAATAATCGCTGATTACATAAGTTTTTCTCCTCTAAAACATACCACGAAAATGCTAATCAATGAATCGTAACTCTTTCCAAACTGAAAATAACGCACTCTGCTCAGATTAATTACCTGCTTTCTTCTTCAGGTTAGAATGCAGTAAGTGATTTCGTCCAGTGTTTTTCTCATAAATGTCGGCATTATTGTAGCAGTATTTTCGTCTACATCCTTGAGTACTTCAATTGCCTGAACCGTAAGATGTGGATATAATTCTGGGAGAAATTATCGCTCATCTTGTCGGACAGAAACGTCGCATCATGTCTGATTCAAGTGAATAACTGGTCCGTGTATTCGACATAAAGATCATGCAACAGGGATGACTATCGATCTGTATCTCAAAACGCTTTCTTCCATGTACTTGCTGCAGGTCCAACAAAGGAAGAGGAGGAGGTGATAGACAACAAAATTTTGCAATATTGCAGCATCGACAAAAAAACGGCCAAGCGAACTGTTGGAGAACTGGAGCAGGAGTTTTTGGAAGCCCTACAGGTCGTACATCTCACTACTATGAAACCAAGCCATATTGAATATGTGGAATTAGGTTTTTTTCCTTAACGGACCCACATATGGATTTCCATTTACGGGCTGGAAAAGTATATATATAGAGCTTCCATATCGGCATTTGAATGTGAATGAAGGGTTGAAGTTTTGCCATATTTGTCGTTCAAACAGCTTCTGTACTCGTCGTTGTAGCGATTGTGTAAGTCCTGCAAGCTTTATTACAGGGTGGTTTTACTCCAGTACTATGCCAGCCTCTGAACTCCATGGTTGCATGTGTCCTGATTCATTCTGGAACTAATCACCAACTGCGAACAGCTTGAACTGAAGTCTACATTGATGTTATCTCCAGTCATTTTATTATGAGGGAAAGCCCATGATGTCCAACGAAGAGTTCGACAACCTGAAGGAGGAGTTGATGTGGGAAGGAAGTAGTATCGTCATGCTCAGTAAGCTCTCATTTATCTGCCCGAACTAGCCAACCTAGCATCGCAAGAATATGTCATTCACTCAACTCTCTTACCCTTATGTTTCTTGAAAATAGATCAATGAGGCAATTCATGCAGAACATAACGGAGAAATTTGTGTTGAGGGTGTGGGCAGGTCCTGACGAACAGAGGTTTATGGAAGCATCCTTGGCATACGCAGCTGGCAAGCCCATCCTTACTGACGCTGCCTACGATGAGTTGAAGATGAAGTTGAAGGTAGGCTTTTAAACATTACCGTTGCTCTCTATCTGTGACGACGGCCGCTGTCTAGTACTACGTCAAGCTTATTTCAAGCCCTCCTTGTTCCCGCATTCCTTGCAAGTTTCGACAAATTATCCTTCAACAATACATCTTGGCCGTGGCATGAGTCGATTCCGTATGTTCATGCCATCAGTTTTCTCTCAACCTTGGCACGAAGGTTTGTACGCTTCACGAAGTAGTTACTTGGGCAGCATCCGTCGGTGCCACCCGGGGGCATTATATATTTGACATTCAGCTGCTAAAGGAGTGAGAACAGGAACGTGGGCAGCATCTATTGTCCGATGCCATTGTTGAACAGAGTACATTGTGAACTCCCTTACTGCTAGGTCCTATCTTCAGCTTTTAGTACCGTCACCAAAGCTTGTTTAAATTGGATTTGTGCAATCAGAAACAGAGCAGCAAAGTGGCGATCGAGGGACCGAGGTGCAGTCTTCGAAGCAAGAAGGTGCCTTCTCCTTGTTAAGTTGTTTTTTCGTTAATGAAATTTAGAATCGTTCATTCAATCCATTTCCATTGTTACGGTATTTGAGCACCACCCGTATTGCCGCCGACAAAGCATGAAGCCATCGTTCAGCACCGACAGGATCAAGTGTGCGTGGTTATGTCACAGGTGTACAGTGACTGCACCGTCGATTATTTGAAGATGACGCTGCTCAATGTTCCAGCTGCTCTAGTTGCGCTTGGTTTGTAAGTGCCATCCTGTTCTGTCAAATATATTTAAATAGTTTTTTACCTATACATGTGTTCCTTGAGTTTCTCGAGTCACATGTTAGACGCTGATGCCGTTGAAACTTCAATTGCAGGGTCTTTTTCTTGGACGATGTTACTGGCTTCGAAATAACTTATTTGCTGGAGGTATGTCACTTTTTGATGTTTGCCTGCATGGTCTTCACAGTTACTGGCTGGCGTTGGGCTCTGTTTTGGAGTCTCAGAATATCCCTCATCCTGTCCTTGGTGTTATTCAAGTTGATCCCAAGGTTGATACCACGTAAGGTTGTTTCTTTGGTCACACAGGCTACGTAACAAGCTTTATTCAACTTGTAAATTGCAGACTAATTCTTTCCTCATTCATGTTTATACAGCTTCCAGAACCGTACAGTTTCCTATTCACATGGTTCATCGTGCTACCAGTTACTTACTTGATAGCTCAGTCTCTGACGAATGTCATCGTCAAGGATCCTCTCATTTTGAAGGTTCGTTTTTACCTATATCTGTGTTGTGATCAGACCTTCGTAGATTTTAGTATTGTCACTTCTTTGAAAGCATCGCTGCCCCCACGCCTTCTCGTTGCGTGAGAACAATACGAGCAGGGTTGCGAGGGCAATCTTTTTTTACTTACACCCAAACATTAGCTTGTGAAAGTAGAATCCGTGCACCTAATGTCGCCGTCATGAACATGCAGGGTCCATGCCCTAATTGTGGAGGAGGAACCACCTCCTTTTTCGGAACCATTCTGACAATCCCTAGTGGTGGATCAGTGAACACCGTTCAGTGTGAATCGTAAGTTCTCTCACCAGATCCAGCAGGATTGTAGCACTGTAGCACTCTTGAACCGGGATCGATTGTTCTGTAAAGCATTGTACTTTTGAAGATCACTTTGAGAAAGACTGGATACAAATGCTTTGTTCTCGGGCATAATGCGGGGTATTCAGAGTTTAGTACATACTGAGAATCCGACGAGTGTTTTTTTGTTGACAGGTGCAAGTCAAGCCTGCTCTATGATCTCGAAGCCCGCTTGATCACTTTGGACCCAACACCTCCGAAGGAGAAAAAGTCGAAGGTGAGTCAGGTCAATGATCGCAGAGTTGTGCCTTGAGGGCAGCACGTCTTTAATGGGATTGTAGTTCGTGGTTGAGCTTGCATGCGTTGGACCCACCTGAGCATTTTGGTTTCTTTCTTACACTCTGTCGGAATGTTGTTGTGGTAGGCTCCAAAGAAAGCAGTCGCATCTTCTTAGAACACAACGTCAAACCTTGTGGTCATGTATGAATGTATAGTTCCTGTCTTTATACATGTTCATCGAGCCCATAATACTTCTGCGAAGCCTCTTCGAGATTTTCTACGCCATCGAGCAGTCATGGAGAAGCTAGAAATAGGAAGTTTGTATCTTTACCGCTTTCGATGTACCGTGAAAAGGAGTAAAACCTTCTAATGGGAGGTGCTGCAATGGTAGCAGCCAAGAAGTTGCAATATGAGTTGTAAACTAGTCGACCAACCACTCGCTCGTAGCAGTCGCTTCATCACATATGATGTGTAACATCTCCTTCTTGAGATCATCTTGTTTATTGATCACTGTACCAAAATAGATGACTTTCTTCAGTACCTTCACGTGGAAACATTTTCCACCTACTTTGGAACTACAAGTATCGAAGTGTCCTGTAAATGCTATAACATTTCGGCTGGTTCTCATGCAATGATTTTGCAACACAGTTGAGATTTTCACTTGCTTGGTAGTATGTGATAAAGACACTTACACGTTTGTCAGACCCCTGCTCTACAGAGGCAAAAAACGTGGAATTGGAAAGCTCATTGGGAACTATGTCCACGACTCGAAGAGCCTTAGCCTCAAATCTGAACGAGTGAATTTTTTTTTATCAATACTCAATCAATACTCAATTAAACAATTGCGAATGAAAAGATGAGCGCATAACGGGGTCAGTACATGTCGTGCAATCCGTCGTTTTTGCCCTTCGGAACTTGTGTGATAAAAATTGTCGGTGAGGTTACGATGAGCACACCGCAGTATTCTTCATGTGATAATTTTTCCATGAAGTATTTTGCAATTAATGCGGGGCTTCGTAAAGCAAATTGATCTGGAAATAGAAGAGTTTCTAACATTTACACATGTTTACTCCGAGTACATCGATAGTAGTCATTTTTCTCTACCCATGTATTGAGCGGAAGCTTTCCAAGAGAAAATTATGGCCCCTAGGAAGATCATAATGTATGTAATATCTACTGTGTCTTATTTACTACGAAACGTGATTAAGATTGATGCATTCACTCTCGCCAACTATCACACCTGTCACTGAAAGTAAGCAAGTCAAGAACCTCGGAACCTATCCCTTCGTAGTCGACGGATGGGAATGTCGGTAGTTCATAAGACCAGGAATGTGGTCCGCATCTGTGCCTCCTGTCCAGAAACCAGCTAGAATTCCAAGTAGCTGGTAATGCTAATGGTAAAAAGTGCATACATAGCATGAGTGTATACATTGATCCTCCATTCATTTCGGTTGTACGTGTGTACACACGTACAACCGGAAGGAGCTCTTAATAAGAACTTAAATCTTCGACCTGTGCGTGACATAATGCTGACGTTCTACGTTCAACAAAGAATCGAGTAGGCCGGGCTTCAAGTCCAATCGCATGGTTCTGTAGAAAGTTCGATTCCAATTCCTTTGAGTAAGCTCGGTGGCAAAGTTGATAGCAGCCTGGAGAGTAGCAGAAGCGTTTTCATGCACGGAGTCCACGATTCCTAGAGCTTGCGCATCCGAAGCTTTCTGCTTCTTGGCAAGCAGGATATTGTCCTTGAAAGCTTTGGGACTCATTGAAGCTCTCAACAGATTCAAAATACCCGTGGAGATTCGCACCTGCACGTCCATCTCACTCATGTACAAAAAGCCCCGATCGCTGGCCATGAACCTGTGGTCATGAGCCATGGCCAATATGAGCCCTCCTGCACTCGCGTGCCCACAGATGGCAGCTATGGTCGGAACAGACATGCCGATCAACGTAGCTAACAAACGCCCGAACAAGTTTGATGATTTTGCCTTCTTCTGTTCTTCTCTAATCCAATTCAAGTTGAACCCGTTGCTGTAGAACCTTCCCTCGTTGGTGGTTACCAGAGCTGCAGCGTCCTCATCCAATTGGACTGCGTTCAGCGCTGCGATCATTTTTTCCATCAAAGTTTCGTCAAGTCGGTGCTCTCCATCGCCGATGAGCGTCATAACGTAAACACGCCCTAACTTCTGCAAAGTTACCAAAGGCTGCTGCTGCGATCGAGCAGCGCCCTCGTCCTCCTTTCGCACCACCCACATGATGCCCACCTCGACACAATCACGGCTGAAATTCAAGCTTCGTCTATCAAATCGATGTGAGCAGCAGCAGCTCCTTACCCTCACCACACTGTCGAAACCGCGCGGTAAAAAGAATCATATATGCCCTCCATCCGTGTCCTTCGATTCAACAAAATTCTACATGAAGCCCTTGTGCAGCCCCGCTCATCCATCAGTAATTCAATCTCGTCTCAAAACCGTCGGCCGTACGATTCTGGCCCAATTTCCTTCAGTCAACCTCATGCTGCCTTCGCCCGAGTCCAAGCGAGGACATAACAGCAGGTGTTGAAAGTAAAGTGTGGACTGGACCTACTGGAGCTTAAGTAAAGAAGGAATTTAAAGAGTAGGAGCTTGTCATGCACTGAGCACCACTTGTTCATTCAGAGGTGTTCACCCATCACACGTGTGATTCGTCGACAGACTTCCCCGTTTTGACGTTTCGTCGCATGCTCTTCTTAACCACCAGTAGACTAATCTATCTCTCTGTAAACGTGATCAAGGTTTGTTGCGGTGAGCAATACTCCCACCGAAACAAAGCGATGAGGATTGTGAGGGATTAATTTCACAAAGAAACGATCAGTTCCTACGACGTTTGTGATTATATTAGTGAGCAGCTACCGTACTGCGTTGCCCTCACTCCCTTGGCTTCAACACCTATTCTTACGGGCCCTGCAGACCCGACGAGAATTAACCCGTATGCATAAAAGACGAAATAGTACGCCTCACGGTCTTGGTGAGCAGGTTTGTCTTTGCTTCAAGAGATTTGACTAATGACACAGCTGCAATTAGTACTTTCCAGATGGAGTACTTCCTCCCCGCTCACTGATCATTGATGAGAATGTGACTGCAAATTAGGAGATTTCCTGAATTAATTTTGAGTTTACTGCTCTTCTGCATTTAGGCGCAGAAGAAATTGCATCTCTAGCATCGTTTCTCTGCATCTGCATGCCTAGTGGTCCGTATGGGAGTACATGAAAAGACAAGTTAGTGATGAGTATTACTCATTCAACTCCATCCTCTCGAAATCTGAATAATTCAATCACGGTTTTATACATCTTATGTGTTTCTTGATCACTCTCGAGTGATATCACTTAACAAACACTATGTCTTATTTATTGTATCAATGTAACTTACCTAACATCACAATATATATTTGATATTTGATGTGGCACAAGATTACAGTAACTTACATTTAAAATTAAGGGGTGAATGTGGTGATTGAGTTATTGTACATGTCATAGTTTATCATCCAATGTGGCTAGTGAAGCTAAATTAGATGAGGAAGCGACTAGTTATCACTCAATTTGGTCTACTTATCATTCACTGTAGGCTAATGTGCACTACTTCTCCCCCTTTTCTCTTTGCCCGCGAAGACTATTACACTAACCTCTAGTAAACATAGGGATAGCTTTGACCAATCATAGAGCTCTTCAGTAAGGTGGCCAATTACAGAGTTCCGTTCAGTAGGGTAAAGAATAATTAGTCCAAACTGAAGGATAACTAACCACTCCCTTTACACAAATGTAACAATGTATATATTGTATTACAAAAAATATACATCGGTAAAATATGCATACAATAATGTACATATCTCATTGTTACTACATTCATTACACATATAGAATTTCATATCAAAAGTTCTAACTAAAATTACAAAAAGATTTAATAAACATTTTTATGGAGCAATATATGTCTTAAGTCCATTAAATCATATTTATATAGAGTTAAGCATGATTGATTTATAACAATCTCTCCATATAGGTTTGAAGGTTTATAAATTTTTTTAATGATTATTTTACTAGAATTACCATCATGACCTTAGTATAATTGATCATATTAAACTTATTTAGATGAATCAAAATAAAACTAATTTCTACTAATCTTCATATTCATTCATGTCTTTGATACTCTAATTTTCAGTATCAATATGACTGCATTGCATAAATCTTTAAGTGAAACCTAACAAACTTTTATACATATAATTTTGAAAGAATCATGATATGATGAAGAAATAATATATATTTGAATATAAAGATAAAATAAAATTGATTCATTCTAATTGTATTCATTTGAAAAATTATTAGTTTGGCAATTTTTTAATATTTTAAAACAATTTAAAATAATTATTTGATAAATGCAAAAAAAATTAATACTTAATCTTGATAATCTAAAAATTAAATTTACATACTCTGCATAGAAAAATTTCATTTAAAAATTATTTTATCAAATGATAATTTTCATCATTTGATTCACAACAAGATGCAAAATATCTACAATCATCATAACAGACAAAAAATTCTTCACTAAAAAGATGTCACTACATGTCAATATATGTAGTCCATAATTCTTGTCGCATTGAAACTACAGTGATAAATCTGATTGATTTAAATTATTCTTAACTCATTACAATGTAATAGAAATAACTCTAGTAGGTTGGTTTTCAAATAATACTGATTTGGTTTTGTGGTATCTTCATCTTTTTAGACTACAAAGTACAACAATATCTAATTCGCCATTCTTGAGCATTGTATCAGTTTTCATGTATGTTCTTAGCAATGTAGACAAAGGCTACCGGTCCAAATCTTTGTGCAATTTTGTGTTTTTCAATATTTTGTGTTTTTTTGGGTGCAAATTTATGACAAAATAATTTTGGATTGAAAAAATTATTAACTGTATTTTGCTGTGAAATACAATATACAGAACAATTGTGATTTTTTTAACAATGCTACATGTTAAAGGAGACGTGTAAGTACAACAACGACAAATAAGCTTGAAGATTAGAAATTGAATTTATGACTTAGGATGTATGATAGTCAAAAGAGTATTAATGAAGTAAAAATATGTTTTTTTTAGTCCAATTAAAAAAGATATGATTTTGAATATTTGACGTAGTAAGATAGCAGCCAATAAGTCTAGAGTAAAAGGACATGTAGTGACAAATAAATACCAAAATGGAGCATAATGGTAAAGATTCAATACCTCGAGGATAGAAACAACACAAAGAGTACCAAGTGTCACGTATTTAACAGTCTGTTGAGGAGTTTGAATTCTCAAGCCATTGTCACTCCTAAAAGTACTACATGTGTTCAACTGAAAAGTCACTTAGAGTACACGCAATGCAGTATAACTCACACACACACTCCTGAAATTATCAAATGTAGCAACACAAAGGTCGATCGCGACCTTGTCTTACTATGCAAGGGGGAAAATTCCCAAAGAGTACACTCAAGGATTCTACCAATTGCAAATTTGCTTAAATCCTAACTCTAGCCAATCGCTATTCAGAACATTCGAATTGGGGCTACTACTCCGGATGCAATATCTTCGACAAACCGAAGTACCTCTATCACGGTGACCAACACACTCAACTCACAAATGCGCGGAGAATGTAGACTTCATTCTGAGAGAAACTATATCGAGAAAAGACCCCCTATGCCAATGCCTTAGACTACTTTATTCTTAACTACCACAAAACTGTCACTCGCTCTGATGCGAGCTCTGAACTGATACTACTCCTGCGGAGTCGGAAGTTGCCGCTTCCTCTAACTTCCGATCTAAACCTAATCTTTTCAAAACGGCCGTTAGCTCTAACTCCAGATTTAATACCGCGTCGCGCGATCTCGAGAGTAACGCGTCGAGCTTCTTGGCTAACGGGCGCTGCCTTTGACCGCTCCATGTTATTAATTCCGCCGCACGATGCTTGAGTTCTCGTAACCGTAGCCATTTGTGTGTCTCAACCTGCCATAAAACATACCCGCGCAAGCATTGATTCACCCTCGCGGTTAAGGCGTCACGCACTTGTTCAAATAAATGCCGATTCTTCCCCTCGGCCTCCGTCAATCTTGTCTCCATCTCGCATAACTGCTCCTCAGCTTGCATCTGTTGTGACCTCAGCTCACTGCACCGAGCCTCCAGCTTCTCTATTAATTCCAGGTGCGAGATCCGCGCAGCCTCATACTCGGTCAACTTCTTCTACTTCGCTGCCAGCTCGGTATCGTACTCCTGCTCCTTCTTCTCTGCTGCTATCGTCAGCTCGTCCACTCTCAGCGACTCAGCGTTATAGGCGGTCCTACACGCCTCTAACCTACTCAGGAGGTCTACGCTTACACACTTGGCCCTCTCAACGTCCTCACGAAGACCCTTTCAGGCCTTCTCCAAATACCTCAGCTTCTCAACTTCTTCGATCAGCCTCTTCTGAAGTACCTGGTACTTTGCCTTCGTCGACTGGCTCTAGCGTTCCGTCACCGCGACCGCAGAAGCCGCTGCCACCTTGGTCCGCGTCTTATTACGTAATACCTCCAAATAAGATCCGGTGGTGGTTGCTCCTGCATACTTCTCCCGCTTCTGGTCGAGGTATTGGAGCAACGGAAGTACATGCACACATAGAACACCGGCGGCACTAAAGGCTTGTGACTGTGCCTCTTCCGCTTAAGATCCTCACCCGTCTCCAGTATGACTGTCTCGGTGGACGTCCGGGGTGAGGCCCCCTTCTGTGGTCCACACTCGGCCACACCTACGTCCTCAAAGGCCTTCGCAACAACTTCCTCCATGGCCGCAGGGTCTTCCTCAGTGTCCGACGACACTGCCAACACCTCAGCGGTTCTTTTCCGAGGGGTCTTCATCCTGATACCCGCCAAATGAACCTCATCCTATCTCGGAGATACTTCGTCCGTCAAGATAGCTTTTCCCTTGTCTTTCCTTATAGCCCGACTTGGCTCTACGGGCATCGACCTTACCTTAGAAGTCCGAGGCTCCTTCCCCGCCGGTGCTTCCTTCTCTCAGATTGTAGTCGTCTCTGGTCTCGCTTCTCGAGTGGGATGTCCTCTCGATGCAACACCTCTACTCTCTGTGCAGCTATACTCTTCCAGTATCAACATCATGGCTTTCATCTTTGACCTGACCCAAGAGTTCGGCGATCGCAGTTCGAGTGGAGCTGCTCTACGCCAACGTTCTTTTGCTACAGCGGCCTCGTCAATCCTCCTTCTCTTCCTTGACCGTGATTCTTGCCTGCCTTTGGGCCGCTTTCTCCTTTCATGAGGCGAATTATGTGATTCGCTCTTAGTATCAGAGTCGACCTCGTTGGCATTCACCACCTCTTCTTCTTCCTATGCCACGTTCTGCAACGGAAACTCTCGGCTTTCCTTGGCAGCCAGCAAGAAATTGATAAAAAATGGGGACAAGTAACAGGCGGACCCTCCTGGAATCAACCCGATGTGTTGCCGTGTAGCTGTAGAGAAGATGGGCGCCTAGTGGATGCGATCTTCTCGCAATGCTCTTTCCACGAACCCAACCTGCCAAGTA